GGGCGGGGCCCCGGGGCGGGGCGGGGCCTGAAAGAGTCTAGGGAGGGCTTTGAGTGCTGGGCAGGAGTGTTAGGCAGATGCTTTGGTGGAGGCTGAAGGCTTGGGCAGGGCTAGGCACAGAGTCAGGGTCTTGGGGCAAGGAATGGGCAGAATCAGGATGCAGAGCTGGGCTGGAGACAGGATTTGACAGTGAGTTACTCCCCGCGGAGGCGGATAGCCAAAAGCAGGCGGAAATCCTCCGTCTAGAGGCGGTGGGTGGGGCTTTGGATGTGGGCGTGGCCAGACCGAAATGAGTTGGGGTTGAGCGAAGAAAAGTAGGGATGGAGTTTGGCCAGGGAAGGTAAGGGAGCTAAGCCCCGCCTGTGGGTGTGGCCCAAAGTGGGCGTGGCTGTCTGGTGGGCGTGACGGAGTAGTTCCAAATCGGGCTGTACGGGCTGCACACCTGGAACTTGTTGGTGGAGTTGAAGGGGATCTCACAGACTTTGGGGAAGCGGTCGCGATAGCCCATGGCGTTGCCCAGCGTCAGCTCTGAGAATTTGAGCAGCGCAGTCTCGGAAGCATCTCCGATCACGATACGCTGGGAACGGGAACGGGGACCCATGTCAGTGTCTTACCCGGCTTCACCAGGCTCCTGAAATCCCCTAGGGTCCCCCAGTCCCTTACCTTGGGTACTGGTACTGCGTCCTGGCCGGACTTGAAGGCAGCACGGTTGCACAGAGTGAGCACGCGGCACAGCGCCCGCCACGTCTCCGAGGACTGGTCAAACGTCTGTCCTGGAGACCAGACACCCAGGCAGGGGGTCGTGAGAGAGCAGATCCCCCAGACCAGGACCAAGCTCCTCCCCCTGCATTCAGCTTGCAGTCCCCTCCCTAGGCCTGGGTGGGACCCAATTCCCTCCTCATCCTGCAGGACAAAGCCTTCTCTCCAGACTCAGTTTTGAGTCTCTTGTGAGTCCAGCTATAGAGTTCCTTCGTGGGTCTGGAGCTGAGTCCCCTCCAAGGACCCAGAACCTGGCCATCTCCCCACAGCACGAAGCCTCCCCCACGCTGCCTCAGATCCCCACTATCAAGCGAGTCCTGCTGCGGCCCCAGCCCTGTCCCATCTCGGTACCTGACTGGTCCTCTGTAGTGTCGGCTGTGTGGATATGATTGTCAAACCACAGATGAGACACCGTCATGCGGTTCTGGGTGAGAGTCCCTGTCTTGTCCGAACAGATCACTGAGGTGGAGCCCAGGGTCTCCACAGCCTCCAGGTTTTTGACTACACAGTTCTTACTGGCCAGCCGCTTGGCTGTCAGAGACAGGCAGACCTGAGGGAGAAGGGAGGGACATGGGTATGGGCACCAGTCCCTGCTTCCAGGTCCGTTTCTGGCCTCTCACCCGAAGCATTAGAGACCCTTATCCTGGCCACAGCACCGCTACTGCAGCATGGATGATGGAAAGTTAGGGGATGGGCGTGGGGAAGAATGGATGAATGAGAAAGGTGTGGATAAACGGCAGGGGGTAGGTGAATGAATGGATGGACAGGTAGGGAAGTAATCAGTAGAAACCTGAATGAAAGAACAAACGGAAGTACAGGCTCTCAGCTTCCTGAAGCCCTCTCCACCTCCACCCTACTCACTGTGACAGTGGCCAGCAGCCCCTCAGGCACATAGGCCACCACAATGGCCATAAAGAAGACCATGGCCCGCAGGAAGGTGTAACCAATGCACATGGCGACCACAAAAAATGTGGCCCCAAAGAGGATGGCCAGGCCTGCGATGATGTCCACAAAATGTTCGATCTCAATAGCAATGGGCGTCTTCTCATTTTCCACGCCTGAGGCCAGAGATGCAATGCGTCCAATGATGGTCCGATCACCTGTGCTCACCACCAGGCCCAGGGCTGTGCCTGCAGCAGGGACAGGAGGATGGCTTAGGGTGTGGTGGGCAGCAGCAAAGCACTGGGGGCTGCGTGATGTGGGAAGAGGGTACCCGTGGTGGGTGATAGGGAAGTGGTGTGCTCTGGAGATGCAGCAGTCCCGTGGGGAGAGGAGACAGAACACAGCAGAAGAAGGGCCAGTGGGGGTCACAATGGCAAGCAGGGAAGCAGTGTGGCACTGGGGAGAGCAGGCAGGGGCTTCACAGACCCTCGAGGCACATGGTGGAGAAAAAGGCGATGTTGCGGGTCTCTAGGGGGCTCTCGTGTGTACACTCGGGCGAGCGGGTCTGTGGCTCGGACTCTCCGGTGAGCGAGGAGTTGTCCACCTTGCAGCCCTGGGCCGACAGGATGCGGATGTCTGCAGGCACGCGGTCCCCACCTTTCATCTCCACCAGGTCACCCACCACAAGCTGATCTGCGTTGATCTGGAACTTGTCCCCATCTCGGATCACTGTAGCTTGCTGTGGGGCAGGGGCAGCAGAGTAGAGCAGGGCAGGGGTGAGGGTGGTAGTTGCTAAGCATGATGGGAATGAGAGGTGGAAGATGGGGACAGCGGAGGCCCTGAGGGAGAGATGGAGTCTATGGAGGAGGGTGAGCTGGACCCGATGGGAGGGACCACAGGGAGACGTCAGAGCCTGCCGAGTGGTCTGGGAGCCTCTGCAGTCTGAAGAGGCCGGAGACTAGGCACCCACCTGGGGCACGAGGTTCTTGAAGCTAGCGATGATGTTGGTGCTCTTGAACTCCTGATAATAGCCGAAGCAGCCAGTGACCACGACCACGGCGATGAGGGCCAGGGCCAGGTACAGCTGTGGGAAGAGGGGGCCAGAGCTCTGTACAAGGGCTGGACGCTCCCTGCTGAAGGGCACAAGCCTGCTCTCTGCTCTCCCCTGCCCTTACGATCTCCTCTGTGGTATTCCCCACGGTACGGGGAAGCCTCATGGCTGTCCCCGCGGCTGAGCCCCGCTCCTTTGTTCTGGATGTCCCACATTAGCTTTCCCTGTGCCCTTTATTCCACATTCCGTGGCTCCCGAGCTGTGCGTCTCCCATATCCCCATATCCTGTGACCTACGCCTCATGTCACTATGTCCCTTGGTCTTAGGAGTTCCCTGGTCCTGTGTCCTCCATGATCAGTGCCTAGTGTCCCAAATTCCTAATCTCTAGCCCATGTCACCTGTCCTTTGCCTTGTCAAGCCCCTGTTCAGTGTAGTACTTGTCCTTGAGCCCCCATGTCCTTTATTTGGTTTTGTTTTTTTTGTTTTTTTTTTGAGACAGGGTCTCACTATGTAGTTGAGACTGACCTGGAACTCACTATGTAGCCCAGGCTGGTCTCGAACTCACAGCGATCCTCCTGCCTCAGCCTCCCGAGTGCTGGGATTACAGGCCTGCGCCACCACGCCCAGCTTCCATGTCCTTTATTTGGACCCTGTCACATACCCAATGTCACCTTGACCTGAGTCTCCACCTCCTCTATCTCTGTGTTTCTCCGCTGGCCGTTTCTCGCTGTGTACTGTGTCCTGTGTCCCTTATGTCCTATGCCTTGGTGTCCCATATCTGAGTCCCTTTGTCCCCTGGGCTGTGTCCTTGGTCTGTCCTTTGTCCTCATGTCCTCTATTTTCTAAGTCTCAAATCTTACACATTGTATTTCCGTATCTTTCACACTGTATTTCCATATCGTTAAATTTCATCTCTGTCCCCTCCCAAGGCTCATCCTTGATGTCCTTATATCTCCTGTGACCTATGTCCTTGGGCCTATCCCACATTCCAGTGTTCTCCATTCCCCAAGACCCACATCTCAGGACGGCATCCATGTCTCTGTATCCCCATCCTGTGTTCTTTTGTCCTGAGTCCTAGGTTCCGTGCCCTCTGACACACAACAAATGCAAGTGGTAGCAGAAGTCCAGTGTCCTTGGTCCCTGTCTCATGCCTGCCCTGCAGCACGCACCACTCACATTGTCATCATTGCTGAGGTCATGCTCACTGGCCTGGATGGCAAAGGCGATGAGGCAGATGGCAGCAGCCACCCACATGAGGCATTGCAGACCTCCTGCCAGCTGCCTGGCGAACTTGATGTACTCCGGGGTGCCCCGAGGTGGCCTCAGCGCATTGGGCCCATCCCGCAGCAGTAACTCGGCTGCCAGGCTCGCAGAAAGGCCCTGGGGGTAGAGGAGTGGGACATGGTGGGGCTAGAAGACTCTCCTCGCGTAACCCTTACTCTTGCTCCTTCTCCTCCCCTCTCTGCCTCTCCTGTCTTGTTCCTCTTCATTTCTACCTCTCTGTTCCTGCCCCTTCCTCCCTCTCTGCTTTGCTCTCTCTCCTCTGTCACCCTTCTCTTCCACTAGCGCTCTCTTCCCGCTGTTTTTCTCCCTGTCTCTTTGCCTGTCTCTGCCCTGCTGCCTCGGGCTCTGCCCTTGCTGTCTCTTTTTGCCTGTTCTTCTGTCTGTCTCTGCGTTTGGCCTTCCAGCACTGTCTCTCCTTCCTCTCTCCTCCTGCCTCTCTCCCTGTCTTCCCCACTCTGTGCCCTCCACTCCTACCCCCACTCACCTTGGTGGCGCTGGTCTGGTATTTCTGTTCCAGCTCAGCCACGGACAGCTGGTGGTCGTTCTGTGTGGTGGGGAATAGGGAATTGCTCTCGGGCTCCTGTCAGACCCCATCCCTCCCCAGCACCTCCTCCCCAGCCCAGCCCAGCCTGCCCGGCCCTTGCTCACCATCTCCATCTCCTTCTTCATGCTTTCCAGCTTCTCCTTCTTCCTGCCTCCCCCACCACCTGCCTTCTTCTTGCTCATCTTGGCATTCTTTTCTCCACCAGGGCCAGTCCCCAGCTCCACTGAGTAGAGCTCGTAATTCTCCTGGGAATGGGGTGGAGCAGGGGAGGCTTCAGATGCCACCGGGACCCCTGCCCTACCCTCCAGCCCCCAACCCGCGGGCCCCCACGCACTGCCTTCCCCATGGTGCCTGGTGCTGTGCCCTCCTTGGCCAGACAGAGCCTGAGGTCTGGAGCCCTGATATACCCAGGGAGGGCAGGGCTGGAGCACAACCAGCTGATTACAGCTGATTACGGGGCTCCTTGGGGTGACCTCCAGGCCTGGCCAGCTCAGGCATTTCCTACCCAGCTGCCAACCACCCCAAATCCCATGGCAACCTGCCACTCAGATCAGGACCCAGTGGGGACAACCACAGCAACGGCACCAAGAAGAGCCAACAAGTGGTGCTCATTGTAAGACGGGCCATGTGCCAAGGGATTTCCCCTATTAACTTATTTAGCTTTACAGATGGAGAAACTGGGGCTCCAAGGGATCAAGTCACTTGCCCTTGATCCCCAGGCTAGGTAGGACATGATAGTCAGGACCCAGAACTGGATAGGTGGGCCGCAGAGTGTCCTCCGGTGGGTCATGTAGAACCTGTCCAGTCACCTATAGGAGGAGGGTGCCCATAACAGTCATCATGGCAGTTGTTTACTGAAGACTTATTATGGGCTGGTCCTGCCCTATGTACTGTACTTGAATGGTCTCATTAACTCCTCACAAAAGCCCTGTAAAAAGTTATCTTCTCTTATCATTCCTGTTGTACAGATGAGGAAACTGTGCCTGCCTGTGACCTAGCACAGCTCAGTGGTAGAGCACTTGCCTGGCATGCATGAGGCCCTGGGTTCAAAACCCCGTCTGAAAACAGATGAGGAAACTGAGGCCCAGACAGGGTAAGGACTTTGGTGACTAAGTATCAAGGACAAGACTCTAGCCCAGGTTTGACCCCACAGCCTGGCACTTAGAAGGTATCACTGAAGAGAAAATGCAAACTTCACAGGAGTAGCACCAAGTACGAACGTGACATGTTCTGTACATACATGACCTTGCATGGTCTTGCAACAAACCCTTTTAAGGGCAGCAGGTCTATCAGTTCCATTGTGCCGAGGGGGAAACTGAGGCTCAGAGAGGTTCAAAGAGGGCCCCAGCAGCACTCTACCGTTCCCCTGTCCGCACCCCACCCAACCCAGGTGGAGGAACCAAGATGCAGAATGGGGAGAGGATGTGCCCAAGGCTGGCCCGAGCTTGGTGCCAGGTTCCAGGAAGTCTGGGACCCCACTCCACATCCCCCAGGAAGGGATTTCTGGTGCAGCAGTGAGTGGCATGGTTATACTCTGGCCTCGTGGGCGTGTCCCCAGGGTCAGGTATGAGAGCCGCCGATAAGATAATCACCTTGGCAATGTCCTTCTCCTTGGGAGCAGGTCACTGGGAAAGTCAAAGCTGGTGGGCAGCTTGAGCTCCTCCCTATACCCCACATACATCCAGGCACACATCCAGAGGGAATGCAGCAGGGGTACAGTCACGCAGACCACACTGCATTACAGCCACCCATTCATAGGCTCGGCTTCATCTCTCCGAACCCTGTGGAAACAGGTGTCATTTCTCTGCTTATATCCCCCAAACATCCCTTCTTGCTCAGAGTAAAATTCACAATTATTCCTGTGATATCTGGTCCCAGCACCTCTCCCACCTCAGTCTTTGTGCTGGTTTGATGGGCATGGGCACATTGTACAGACCAAGGTCATTCTTGCCCCAGGGCCTTGGCACTTGCAGCTCCATCTGCCTGGTACCGGCTTCCTAAGATATGTGCAAAAGTCTCTCTCATTTGCTATGGGCCTCAGTGCAAATGTCACCTTTCCCTCTCCCCCATTGTGTTCCATTCCCTCGCCCTTTCCTCCTTCATACTTCATGCTCCAAATGACATTGTACTTAATTTTTATTTGTGTGATGTCCATCTGGACCTGGGAAAGGAAGCCTGGGACCTGACTGTGTTTGTTGCTGTATACACAGTCTGAAACAGTGCCCCTCCAGCACACAGCAGACTCAGTAAACACTGCTGAGTGTTAAAAAGGACTTAATTCCTTGGTGGCTGGGAATACCCACTAACGATCCTGGGATCCTGGGCAGCTGTCTTTGGGGCACACACTGTCTCCAGCCCCTCCACCCTGGCCCACCAGCCTCTGCCCTCAAAATGCCCAGATTCCGGGGCAGCCATGAGGATCGTGTCTGCATAGATCGGGGACCCTGCAAGCGATGTCACATGAAGGGACCTTCATTCGCAGCAGGTGGCTGGCGGAAACCTCTGCAGGCTGCTGCCAAAATAGGGCTGCCCCTCTCTGGTCTCTGCCTTGTTCGTGTTCTCTTCTTTCTTTCTCACTTCTTAGTTTTATGTTATTTTAGGTTTCAACTTTTTATTTTAAATGTTTCAAACCTACAAGTGACAGAAATAGTAAGCACCTGTCTGCCATTCACCCAAATTTAGTGATTTGCTATATTTGTGATAAGAGAGATAGATGAAAATTTGAAATTTGTTTTGGCTGAATCATGTGAGGGTTAGTTGGAAATAGGATGCTTTTTATACATACTTAGGCATGTGTCTTCTGTGAATACATTCTCTTACATCGTCATGATCTAATGACCAGCTTTAGAAATTAACATTAATTGGCTAGTAATTTAGCTAAGCTAGAATTTATTTGAGTTTTCCCATTAAGGTCTTTGTCCTTGCCCAGGATCCAAGACAGGGTCACACTTTGCATTTATTTGTCATGGCTCCTTGATCTCCTTTAACCTGTGACAGCTCCTCAGTCTTTCCTTGCTTTTGTGATCGTCGTTTTGGGAAAGAATTATTAGTTATTCTGTAGATTTTCCCTCAGATTGAGTCTGCTGATGATTCTTCATGATTACATTTAGGTTGTTGACTTTGGGCAGGAACACAAAAGTCATGAGTGCCCTTCTTAGGACGTTGTGTCAGGATGTACCTCATACTTGAGTCTTTGAAGTCTAGAACAGGGATATTTTGGGATGTTTACTACCTGAGCCCAAGCCCCCAGATCTCTCACACCCAACTACCTAAATCACTGCTTGACTCAACCTGACCCTGTACCATACCCACGGCCTTGTGCATCTGACTGACCAGTGCCCAGCCGTGTCAATGGTTAAATATTTGTAGTCACTTTGATGATTACACAGCCTTCAGATGGTATTCAGTGTTCTGTGTCTCTGGGGGTGGGGCATCTCACTTGTGCAAATTAGTCTCTTATCATGTGTCCAAGTGACACTGACCCCCATCTTGAGGAGGAGGGCGCAGAGGCTTCTACCCACAGGTGGGATCTGGATCAAGTGGAACATGTCCCAATGCCTTTGGCATCTTGGCTGGACAGTAGCCTGGGTGGACATGCAGAGCTGTTTCAGGCTGACAGCTTCTGACAGGACTGAGGGGCAAAGACTTCTCACCAGAATGTGGCAACTGTGAAAGAATCCAGTTACTGCAACGGCACAAGATTTCTCTGAGCCTAAGGCATGTAGATCATGGGAGGCAAGTTTGAGTCAGAACGGGGAAAAAATGATTTTTTTTCTTTCCCTGAGAAAGAAGGGTGAGAGGACAAACTATTAAATAGATGGAGAGTCAGGCATGGTGGTGTGTGCCTATAATCCTAGCACTTGAGAGGCTGAGACAGGAGGATTACTCCAAGTTCAAGGACAACCTGGGCTTCATAGTGAGTTTAAGACCAGTTTTAACTACAAGGTGAGACCCTGTCTCAAAAAAAATTTTTTTTAAATAAATAAATAAACAGATGGAGAACACTAAGTGGGCTTAAAGGAGACTATGAACTAGAGTTTCCTGGATCCAGGCCCACAGCCACACTGAGGGACTTGGTACCCCGCTGGGCCTGCTGGATTCAGCCCACTAGCTGCCCCTCGTCCTCCCCAAGTGCCATTTTACCCTCGCAGGCTCCTGGGCTCTGCCTGCCCAGACCTTGTGTGTTTCTCAGTGATCATTTCAGGCCTGTGGCACACTTGGCTTCCTCTGCCCCAATGTTCACCTGCTCCTCGTCCTTAGTGGTACAGATATTCCAGGGAACCCTCCCACCCTGGGTTCCAGGCTGGGTCCAGTGCTTCCCTGAGCTTCCCACCCCAGCCCTGATCACTCCAACCCCCAGTTTCTCCATCACAGTCCTGCCTGCCCCAGGCTATCACAACCTGGTGATATTTCATCTCCCCTCCAGATTCCCTGAGGACAGGATCCAGAATGTGTGTGTGCCCTGTATTGCCCAGCCCGAGGCAGTGTTTTCCAAGTGAAGGACTTCATTGTGACCGTGACTTCTGACATGTATTTGCATCTCTCTGATAAGATAGTGGACTCCACCAGTGCCCTTTACCTCTTGGGCAGGTCACTCCCTCCCTGGCTTCCACATCCTGAAAAGTGCAATTAACAAGAGACTCAGCAGCAGGCAGGCACCTTGCTTCTCCCCCATCTTCAGAGCAGACCGCAGGTCAGAGAGGGGAACAAGATTTTCCAGGCCTTTCTTGCTCTGGGAACCGGAGGTCATTATAGAATCCAACTACTTTCCCTTCTTCTCTGCTCCCATCACGGCCTGGCCTCCATCCCCTCCCACCTATGAGACAGTTAGGGACAACCAGGGTGGGACAATCGGGGGACAGAAGGCTCAAACAACAAAATAAACCCCTGGGCCAGTAAACTCTCACCCTTTGTAACATGGCATGTTTCAAAAAAGCTCGTCTTTAGACCCTGATAAAACCACAGAAGCAGGATGTTTGCAGAAAACAAGAAATTGTTACCAAGGAAAAATCCAAATAAGCCCTCTAGTTTTCCTTGTACTTAGTCTGCTTAAAAATCACTCATTTTAGAGGTCACACTGCTGGGTGGTACCCTATCAGCTTCCCGCTGGCTTTGCTGTGTGGGTCATGCTAACAGTGCCTGGGTTACCTCCCCCAGACCTGATGGAACCCTCAGGTCAGATTCTGCTCAGCTCTACACAGAGACATGTTGATTATTTAAGAAATGCTTAGAGTAAGACTACGATACAGGGTCAGCATGGCCTCCTGTCCATGGCGCTGGTCTGTTTCTTATTCCTCTCTCCTTTCTTTTCTGCCCCTACCTTTGTGCGTTTTCAGTGGCCACAACAACCCAAGCACCTGAAGTCCTTCAGCCCTATCCTAGGACCAGATCTACTAGACCTGGCCATTTTGTACAGGAAGATGGCACTAGCTACATGAAAATTCAGCAGCCTCCAGGATGAGTGGACCATGACCAACCCAGTGGTCTAAATCATCACAAGATGAAACATCTTTTAGAACTGTACTCCTGGCCAGTAAGAATTACCAGAATTTAGCCCACTCCAGCCATTAGTAGAATCTTGCTGGTCTCTCTGTCCTGTGGGTAGCAGTTTGGTCACTCTCTGAACTAACTGCTGGCTCCCTTCAGCCCAAGCCCCAATGCAGCCAAAGGCCCTTCTCTCCCCTCTCCCCCAATAGGCTCTGCCTGGGCAGGAGTGTGGATGCTGCAATATTGGGTCCAGTCTCATCTCTACTATCTCTGGGTAAAAAATTCTATTGCCCAGTATCACCTGGACATCTCTGCAGCCTCTTCCCTGGTTCCCTGCCCCTGTCTCTCCACAGTCTGTTCCCCAAACTCAGGGGAGGAAAGCTGTGAGTCCCTGAGACAGACCATGGCCCTCCAGGTCAGAACCCTGCCCTGGCTGCACCCATCTCTGGCTAACGCAGGTCCTCACTGGCACCCGAGGCCTTAGGGATCTGACCCGTTTCCTCCCTAAGCTCCTCTCCTCCCACCGGTGTTTGGCCCTCTCTTTTCCGACTTCGAAAGCAGCGGACAGGTTCATGCCTCACCAACTGTCACTTACTAGAAAGGCCTCTTCCGTCTTGGCAACTTAGTTCCTTTAGACTTCCCTGCATCCAAAACACTTTGTTGTCTTTAAACTATGTGAATTTCTAACACATGCCTCTCCACACCTATAATCCCAGCATTTGGGAGGCTGAGGCAGGAGAATTGAAAGTTCAAATTGCCCAGGGGGAATTGGAGAACCTGTCTTGCACTAGGCCTGCTAATTTTCTCTCTTCCCAGAACAAGACAGGCTCCTTCCTGCCTCCCAGGGTCTTTGCATTTCCTCTTCCACTTGGAACCCTCTTCTCCCAGAAGTTTTCTATGATTCTGTTGTTCTCACTTCGGGTCACAGTTCCTAGGACTTTCCTCAGCCAGTCTGTTTTGAGTCTCTCTCCCTGCTCTCCCCATTTCTTTCCCTTTTCATGAGACTGACTACTCCCTAGAACTCTGTTGCCCCGTATGGTAGCCACTAACTACATGTGGCAAGTTGAATTTGGTTATAGTTAAATAAAAGATTAAGTTCCTCAGTTGAACTAGCCACATGACCAGCATTGGCTAAGAATTGATCAGAGTGAATTATAGAAAATTCCTTTCATTGAAGAAAGTTCTATTGGGTACTATAAATTCTATTAGGCATTATAATTAGAACTATCTTGTGGCTTTACGTTTTTCATATATACTTCTCAATATAATGTGATAAAGTTTTTTTGGTTTTATTTTGCTTTGTTTTGCTTGGGTTTGATTTTGTTTGTTTCTTTTCTTTTCCTTTGTTTTTTACTTTTGGCAATGCTGGTGATGGAATCCAGGACCTTATGAATGCTAGGCAAGCACTCTACTACTGAGCACACCTGCATCCCCTATAAATTTTGAGGAAAAAATACTTCATCTGTCTGATCCAGCATTGGACCACTTAAACCACTTAAAGGCTTAAAACAGCCCCCAGCAATGTGACCTGATAAATGGTCATTGAGCAAATGGTCATCCAAATGAGCCCTATGGGAGGTGGATTCACAGGGCCATGTGAACACTTGTGTGCACACACGTATGTAGCAGATAAATGAAAGCAGAAATTTCCTCATCAACTTTATTGCTCTTAAAAATTCCGCCGAATGGGAAACTTGCTCCAACACAAGCAGTGGGAAGGGCCGGGGCGTCCTAGGAAGAAAAGGAAACCAATGGGAAAGCGTTCCTCTGAGAGACGGAAGGATGGTGGAGAAAAGAGCAGAGTTGATGCCAGGGAGCATCGGAGGTGGGGAATTAGAGGACAGAAGGAGATCCCTGGATGGAGGAGGAGGCAGGGGCATCCATCTCTGGCCAGGGAGTGGGTGTGAAGATGCGAAGCCTCTCACCCTGTCAGAGATGACAAGGGCCAGGTTCCTGCTGGGTAACAGCAGAGCAGGGACACGATGGTCAGAGGCAGGACGTCCTCTGCTGGAGGTCCGTGTGGAGCTACGGAGACCACATCTGCTCCTCCAGGGACTCGCAGAGCCCAGGAAGCCGCAGACTTGTACCTGCGGCAGGCGGAGGCCAGAAACAGAGTCTGCAGACAGCCTGGGGGACTGGAGACCTCAGAGGCTTCAGGAGTGAAGATGAGCTAAACTGATCCCACCAGTCAGGAAGTGACCCACCAGCAGGGGTCACCCTGACCCTCCTGATGACGATCCATCATCTCCATGAGCCCTTGCTGTCCCACTACCTCCTTCCTGTACTGTTTACTCTCTCCCCACTCTGCAGTAAAGCCCCTCACCTTCCTATGGGCCCCTTGCTGCTGCCAATAATCTCTGCTTTGTACCGCATACCCCATTCCATCTCCCATAATCCTCTCTAATCCCTCTAATCCCCATTCCATCACTGTCAGTACCTCACTCCCTCCCTAGCCCTCAAATCTCCCTCCTATCCCGCAATCTCCTCCCCGTCTCTCTGTAACATTTTCCTCGCGCTCCTTATCTTCCGGTCCCCACAACCTTCTTCCTTTCCTGGTAACCTCCTCCCCATGCCCATAGCACCAGATGGCCCACTGACCCCCACCTCAGTCTCCGCACACCCCACTTGCAATCACTCCACAACTGAATCCTTCTGCCCCGCTCCTCTCTCCCAGCCCCCGCAATATCCTCCCTGTGCTCCGTAACTCTTTCTCCCACATTCCCTTCCAATCTACCTGTCACATCTGGTGAGGGTAGCTCTTACCTAGAGTTCATCAAGCTTTATATCAATAAAAGGGTTAGAGATACTGTCACGGCACTCAGGGGGCTGGGAGACCAAGGAAGAGATCGGCACTCAGAGAACTGAACATGAAAGGCAGGTTCATTCACTAGTGGGCTCAGTGGAAGTCATCTTCCGGATTATATTTTTATATTGCTCTTTAGGCAGGATGGGGAAGCAACCAAAATTTTACAGAAGCAGAGTTTAGCACAGGGGCGGGGAGGTGCAGGCAGATGTTGCTTTAACAGTTTATCTCCACGATTTAGGGAAGTGCAGGCAGATGCTGTTTCAGCGGTTCATCTTTCCAGCACAGTGACTTTGTGGGTTTAGCAGGAGGGCCATCTTAAGACTGTTAGTTTCTGTCAAGCTTTGAGACTGTTAGCTTCTGCTTTTTTTTTTTTTTCTTATTTCAATATAGGTATAGAAAGAAAAACAACATCACTTTATTGGAGTGAAAAATAGGGAACAAAATCACTTTGTTGGGAAAAGGAGAGAAATAAGGAGATAGTGTTGCATCAGAGTAAGGTAGGGAGCCTGGAATTGGCACTCAGGAGTCTTTGTTTTTTGCCTCTTTTATTACATGACAAGAAGGGACCCCACCCCTTTGAGAGCTGTTACAACTTGACTGGCTATTCTGGATTCTGAGACCCACTGATTTGACCATTCCTCCTTCCATTGCCTATGTGCACATTCTTGGATAAGCACGTCTTTGGTCTCTTTGTGCTGTCCAGGTGCTTATCTTGTGAGATTTACAGCAGAGGCTCACCTTCAAGGCTGAATTAGTAAAAAGGACACATGGGTACCTTAGTGTATTAATATGGTGATAGACTAATAAAAAAAAATATATATATATATATATACTTATATGTAGGTCTGTGAGTGTCCAAGTGTTAGTGTATATTTTAGGTACTGAGTTTTCTATAACATGGCCCTCTCCCCACTTTGTTCCTTAGTGCTTAATCAGAGGTGCGGGGAGGAAGGAATTGGGGCCCTGGCCTGAAGTTAGCCAGGGTCTGATCAGCTTGCCCTGCTTGTTTTTCTTAGCGGCTACCTCTCTGTAGCAGGGGTTTAACTCTTTATTTGCCAGGACCCAGAGAGAGATTGATTGATTTAGGTAAAAACTGTAGTTTTGATTTGGAATTGGAAATATTGAAATGGACTCCTGTTTTAGTTTACCTTTAAAAAATATTTTCTACCTCCAAATACTGGAAAAAGTTATAAATAAAAACCCACTCCAGCTCTCAGAGTTTGATTTTGGCATTCTTACCGACAAGAGATAAAAACTCAAAATCCAAGAACTGCCAAAGATAAGACTCAGAAAAACCACCCACTCTCTTTAGGTGGTACTCCAAAGAGCTACAACACCAGCATAAGAATCAAACAAATGGGAATCACCCTGGCCTCCTCTCTCATCTGATGGATAGGCTGCATCCATCAATCTCAAATGTTGGGCTTGGAAAGAGGGCCCAGACTAATGGAACTTGTGTTTGTCTGGCAGAAACAAAAAGAAATTAACTCTAGAGGAAAATAGTATCATTCTAGACCTCAGATTATTCTTTAAAGTATTTCTCAAATGCAGTATCTATATTAGTTAGTTTTCCATCACTATAACAAAATACTTGAAATAATAAATTTATACAAAGAAATAGTTATTTTGACCCACAGTTTTGGAGATTCCAGTCCATGGTTGTCTGGGCCCATTGCGTTGGGCCTGTGATGAGGCAGTGCAACACGGCAGGAGCACACAGTGAACCGAAATCATCACTCATGGCCAGGAAGCAAAAGAATTAAGAAAGGGCCGGAGCCAGACCGGAGAAATACAATTTAATCTAAACTCTATTTGTTGTAGTGGTTTTGATGGTATTGGAAGTTGAACCCAGAGCCTTCCTACTGAGCTTTAGCACTAGCCACTCCATTTATAAAAAAATTTTTTATACCAGGGATCGAACTCAGGACCTTATGCCTGCAAAGCAGGTGGCAGAACCACTGAGCTAAACCCCTGGCAAAATCTTTTATTTTGAGACAGAGTCTAATTAAGTTGCCCAAATTGAGTTTGAACTTTGAGTCCTCTTGTCTCAGACTCCAGACATGTACTATTACCACCGCCTTTAAACTTTTTAGGGAAATTTCAGAAAACCAAAACAAAAACTAAAAAAGAATTTTCTTCAATAGAGTGAAAGAGACAGGTGTGGTGGCACATGTCTGTAATCCTATCATTTGGGAGGCTGAGGCAAGATGATCACCAGGAGTTCAAGGCCAGCCTGGGCTAGAAAGTGTGTTCAAGGGTGGTGTGAACTATATAACGAGATCTTGTCTTAAAAAAAATAGAGTGAGGGCCAGGGATTGAGCTCAGAGGTCTGCCACCTGCCTTGCAAGTGCATGGACCTGAGTTCGATCCCCAGTACCAAAAAATAAAAAATAAAATAAATTTTAAAAAATAAAATGGAGTGAAAGATTAATGATTACTTTCTAAATAGCAGGAAACAGTCCACGGAAATAAGCCCAGGAGACAGAGTCCAAATAAAATACCATTCCAAAGCCAATGCAGAAGAAGGACTCACTAATCAAGAGACCCCACACACTCCCATTCCAAAATCCCCTGTTGTGAGTGAAACAGAGAAGTTTTGTAAATAATCTAAAAACCTACAAAATGTTAGGAAAATGTAAAATGACTTCTATTATCTCTAACAGAAACATGATTTGTTTAATTCAAAATTAACACACACTGGAGGCTTTGACCATGAAATGGGATATCTGACCTCATCCCTGACTTTGAACACCCTCTCCCTGTGAGCTAGAATAGATAGCTAGACGAATCTCAAGGTAAACTCCCTAACTATAAGAAATTGTTATGTCTGGGTTAAAGTGAACAGCCTTGTTATTGTAATTTGTACGTGGGTAATGCGAATTGAGGAAATGAAATGTAACCACCTGAATGAGATCATAGCTGTAAAACCTTTAAAAGAGGAAGCTGATACCCAATAGGAGGTTGCTCGTTGGCACTGCCTTTTTGAGTGCAATCAACCCCTTGCTGGCAAATAAACTCTTTATTATTTTACTTCCATTCAGTGCTCTCTATGTGCGTGTCACTTGCCAATTCCTTCCGAAACAATGGGTTGTATTTAGATGTCCGCCCAAAGCCTCCTGCATTCATAGGTGGGGCTTTTAGGTGCTCCCTGGGTCTAGGGTATATAGTGCTGGCAAAAAGGTGTGTGGTACTAAATTAGCCTATTGATTGTTTAGCATAATTCTGGGTATGGATAATGCGTAGGCCTACCATGGGTGTGAGTGGCACCACCCAAGAAGTTTGTGGCCTGAATGGGCTAAAAGGGAAAGGTAGGCTTGCTTGGCTGCTGCTGCTTCTGCGGCCTCCTCCTGCTCTGCATGGGCTGTTTCTCCTCTGTGTTTCCCCTCTGCCGTGCCATCCTGGCTTGAGCCAATTGACTATGGACTGACCTCTATAAACTGTGAACCAAAATAAGCCTTTCCTACTTTAATGTAGGTGTAGTGTCAGATATTTTGTCCAGTAATGAATGAGTGACTAACTCTGTTGCAGCAGAGAGGAGCAGCTCTGTGCTATAGCCAAGTGTTACAGCTCAGTGTTACAGCCAAATGCCATGTTATTTGTTATTAATTTCTAACTCTGTAGGCCAGAATGGCTTCTTACCTGTTCAAGATCTCATAAGGCTAAAATTAAGGTGTCAGCTAGGTTGGGTTCTCATTTGGAGCTCAGAGTCCTCTTCCAAATGAATGGGATTATGGCACAATTTAGATCCTTGAGGCCACCTGCATTCTTGCCACATGGGCTCCTACACCTTTAGCTAAAAAGACTTCAATCCTCTCACATCTTCAACCTCTTTTGCCAATAAAACCAAGTTCTTTTTAATACTTCACTTGATTAGGCCCACTAAGGATAGTCTCCCTCGAGTTAATTGACTTGGGACCTTAACTATATCTGAAAAATTCCTTCACAATGACATACAAATGAGTGTTTGATTGAATAATAGAAGAACGCAGATTTATACCAGGGAACAGGAGGAATCTTGGCGCCATCTCAGAATTCTGCCCACTACCATAAGTGATTTCCTTTTCCATTTATTAGTTGGTGCCCTACTTTAATAAAGCCCTTCTTTTTTGTCTCCTTTTTCTATTCTTTCTTCCTCTCAGAATGTACTATAGAATGCTTTTTAATTCGGTACCATTCGTGTTGACATTATTCCTTTTCCTCTTTCTGTTGGTATGTCTAGCTTTCTTACTGCGCTTCTTTATGCTCTCTTCCACAGCTCTTGGGAAGGCCTTCCTGGCACTGCCGGCTCCCTCTGTTCAGAGAGAACGGAATACAGAAGTAAAAAAAACCAAGACCCAAACCTAGGGCTTCCCACCAATCCCTATCAGGGTAGGAGGAGCCAGTGTCCTGAAAGTGGGTGGGGCCTGATGGGCGGGTAGAGTCTGAAGTAGCCTGTAACGCCTGTAACGGGAACCACGCCCCCTGATGAGAGCAGCCAATCAGGACTTGGGGTGATGGCTTCTCCATTGTGAAGAACTGGCCTTTGACATCTGAGTCTTGGAATTCTGGGTAGAGCAAGGAAAGGAGCAGTGGCCTGGGTCTTTGTTTTCAAAACACTTGGACCTGTATTTTTCTGAGTGGAAAAATCATGGGCCCGAAACCGGAAGTCCAACCTGCCCCAGATGCTCCACCTGCCCCGGCTGCTCCACCTGCCCCAGCTGCTCCACCTGCCCCAGGTGCTCCAGCTGATGCTGGTGCTCCACCTGTCCCGGATAAGGGTCCTAAACAGACACCCGAAGAACTGGCCTTTTATGCTCCGAATTATTTATGTTTGACCATCTTCGCTGTAATTCTTTGCCCTCCCTTGGGATTCATCGGTATCTACTTCTGCTATAAGGTAAAACAGTGCCCCGGTCATGGCCCCTCCTCTCCTCTGCTTCCCCGCTTCATCTACTCCTGTCTTGGGACCTGGGTAGGGACCTGGGTAAGGGTTCACCCTCAAAGGCAAAGCCCCCTGCCTCCCAAGGGATTCTGGACCGGAAACCCATACCTATGCTCCCCCCGCCCCTACAGACCTCAGTTGCCAACCGGAACAGCAAATGGGAAGAAGCTTACAGCAACTCAGGCCGAACTGGTTACGTAGATGTAATGGCCATACTCATTGGTTTGGGCCTCATTTACAGATTTACCCTATTTGAATGAAGGCCAAGCACAGCATGCCAGGGGTTTACACCCCAACAGGGTGTATAACCAACCAACACCACCAAGACACTGACCAGCCACCGTGCAAGAAACTCAACGGTTGACTCATTACATTACCTAGCCAAGAAATGTGCCACCAACCAAGGAACACAACATTCAAGCAACCTAGCACCCTAGAAACAACTAGGCCTCCTGCCTGTACCATTTCAGCTCTCCTGGCCTCCGGAGGTATCTTCATCCACCTTGGGATCCATATGTCAGCATCCTACATTCTCTTAGTTCCTTGACACTGGGCTGCTCTCTCAGGAAAAGAAAAAATTAAATAACTAAAAAGAATGTTCTGGCTTTGTGTGTGTGTGTGTGTGTGTGTGTGTGTGTGTGTGTGTTTCACTGGTGCTGTTTCTTCTAGACTATGTGAAAATCAGAATGCTCTAATGGTGAATCCCAGAGATGTGGAAATGGCATAAATGTGGGTTTACATTCCTACTGTGACTCTTGAAACCTGAATATCCTTGGGCCAGGTATGGCGACACCTGAGTGTAATCCCAGCACTCAGGAGGCTGAAGCAGTAGGATCACTATGAGTTCGAGGCCAGCCTGGGCTACATAGTAAGTTTAAGGCCTGCCTTGATTATATAGCAAGACCTTCCCTGTCTAAAATAATTTTTTCTGAAGTTAAAAAATATTTTTAGAAAGTAAAAGAAAACAGAAACCCTCTTCTGTTTGATTTTTTTTTCTGTAATGAGGATTGAACACAGCACCTTCATATTGAGCAACATCCCCAGACTTTTTTATTTTGATAGAGTGTCGCTAAATTTCTAAGTTTCCCAATCCTCAAACTTGCCATCTTCCTGCCTCAAAATCCCAGAGTGCTGGGATTATAGGCATGCACCAATATACCCTGTTGTGTTCCAGCTTTTGAGATCCAAAAAGCCAATTCCTAGGGGAAGAATGGAAAGACTTCCAGGAACACGAATAGATTCTACAGAATAGCTGATGAAGAGGACCCTCTCCCAATCTGGAAAAGTAACAGGTCCCCACAGGAGCGGGGAAGTAGAGAGACTAGATGTCAGTATATCTATCTGAAAAAGTCCCAGTTGCCCGTTTCTCAGGACCAGTAATGTCAAAGACCCTGGATTTTGCTGGTATTTATTCTTTACTGATAAGTCCTAGAGAGGCTACAAGATCTCAAAGAAGATATGCTACATGATACGGAGGTCTAGGAAGAGAAGGCCTCAGACAGCCAAGTTAGATATCCCATATCCCAGTTTGGTGAGGAGAAGGTGAGGGCCATAGGAGTTCCAAGTGCCACAGCGAGATATGACCATCATGTGAACTGTGATAATGCAGGAACCACCCACAATAAATAAAATCAGTCATCTAGTTTAAATGTGGACAACACATGCCCCCCTGGGGCTGCTTCTGGTGCCCTAGCTTCACATTCAGGTTCAGAACCCTAGATTCAGCAGAATTAAGTTTTCTCTGCCAAGGAAAATGACAGTTATTGGTAGAAACTGAGTTGTGGAAGAGACTATCGACACTCCACCAAACACCGTGGGCTTCTCTCCCTGGGAGTGGTACTCAGCCGCACTTCGAAGGTTCCCCTGTGTTATCATAGGGCTGACTTTAGTCCTATGGAAGGTGAGCAGATTTGATGAGTGCCACAAACCAAGTCTGGCCTCTAAACATTTCCACCGTGCACTGCTCCATAATCTTTCTTCCCTGGCCATCGGAGCAAGTGATGTGTAGGGTAATTTGGAAGGCTATATGTTGTAGAGATGGCAGAGTCCCCTATCAGTTTGGGTTTCTGAATTATTCTAGGAATGGTCTCTCTTTCCCCGTCTGCCTTGAGCAGTTGAATGGAAAAGAAACTATCCTATTGAGTCAGGACATGCTAGTTGTTTCCATAGCCCCATCCACCCTAACCAGAGCAGATGCAGAAAAAAGTTACATTTTTTTGTACATATGAACTTATAGCTTGAAATTATACACAACAGAGAAACTCATCTGCTTGAGAGGTTTATAGAAAACAATAACAGAGGAAAACAACAAAGGCCCTAGTCCACCTTAACTGTAGCTGTTACAATGCTGCATGACTCCTGTGGTCCCGGATGTCTGCATCGACTACATGTGTCTGTGCCACAGTGCTCCGGTTCTTCATGTGTCAGAAGAAGGAACTGTTGTGTCAATGGGTGCAGTGATGGCAAACCTTTCCGAGCTTTCAATGAGACACTGTGGCACGCGTGCCATAGGTTCGCCACCACGGGTCTAGACAGTCAACCATTCCTGTCCCTCTCCACTGTACTACAAGACTTGGAGAATCAGTCTTCTTTCTTCTCAGCTTCAGTTCCTGGACTCTCTGCCCCCAACCTGTGCTCTACTCTCACAAATTCATGTAAATGTAAATATAAAACAAAACAAAAAATCACCTTCTTATCCCTTGAGACATCATCGATTGAATTACTATAATGAAACCTGTGGATTTAACACTTATCTTTCCACCTCTCTCCCTACAACTCTCCAGAGAATGAGGTCATGACTTTTTAAATCTCAAGTTGTAGGGTATACATTCCTTTATGCCTGTCTAAATATGTTCCATGACTAAGGCCAGCAGTTTATAATAATTACATCCCTCTCTGCACTAATTTATGGAGTGTAAAGCAATCCATCTACCTGCACTCTTTCAGATTTATTATTCTTCTTATCTTTTTTCTGCTTCCTCTCCTCTTTTTTGTTCTTCGGCTTTCTTTACTCTGTTATGTATGTGTTCCTACACCTGTTGTTCCCAGGCCCCCCAGAGCTGCACAACTGCTCTCAAAGAAATTGCCCACGTGATCAAACAGAGCAGGTGATTTTTCAATTCTCCCTTCCCCTTGGATCCTAAAATCTGATTAGTTAGTTATGACTTTTGACTTATATAACTTTGACATCAAAGGACTCATAATGCAAAGGGTAGGGGAGAGAAGACGTGCTCACTTTCAGCTTGCATCTGGTATATCCGCCCCCCGAAGGTACTTGCTGTCAATAATTTGTCGTGCCTTTTCCCACTGATGTTTCTGTGTATTTCCACGTGCACAGATGTTCATACACATTGATATTACTCCCTTTTTCTGCTTATCACTAACCCTTAAAGATCTTTTCCCATTAGTACTAGAGACTTTCCACCCCGATGTCCTTTGTTCCACTTGTGAATATTCTCCCTCTGTACAGTAATTTTCTGGCCCACAAGATAGATTCCTGGTTTCTCAGACTTCTCTTTTCTTTTGCCCAGTGATAACTTACAGGATTCCAGCACCTGGCCATAAACTGTGGATCCTTCTTCTGGTTGGCAAATGAAATCTGAGTGGGATGAGAGAGAGATTCTAAACTGGATAATCAGCTGCAAAGAAATTTTGTTCCATGCATACATAAATTTCACTAGCAAATTTTATTTCTAGCCTCAGAAAACTATGACGTTCATTGCTACCACGTATGGTGGTTGTGACTTAACTCCTTAGAAGTCTTCAAGTCTGATGAAGTCTTATTTATTTATATGTCACCCTGGCTGAGGAAGAGGAGGAGGAATAAGAAGAGGGTTTTGGAATCAGAATCTCGTTTAAATCAACAGTACAGGGCCAGGAGTGGTTCCTCAGTGGTTAGCTCAGTGGTTCCGCCACCTGCCTTGCAAGCACAAGGACCCGAGTTCAACCCCTGGTACCAAAACAAACAAACACAAAACAGTACAGCATCTCTGAGGAGCCACTGAAGAGAAAGGAATTGTAAGGGGGGTGCATGCACTCACAGGCCGTGGACAAGGAGGTGGGGGCAGATGAGTTGAGTCCCAACTCGTTGGACTGGACTCCATTTTTTCTTTCTCCCCCACACCTATCTAATGGTGGTGGGTGCTTATATTTGTGACTCTTTTCATTCATTTCCAATTTTTCAAAAATGTTAGGGTTGGGGTAGTGGGAATAACAGGAAAGGCGAAAAGTGGAGTTGCAGAAGGGCAGGAGGAAGACGTGGAGATGAGGAAGAGGATTAACCTGGAGTTAAGGAACAGAGCCCCGGAGGAGGTGACAGAATTGGTCCTTGATAAATACCTGTGTGTCAGTGGGGAAACGGAGGGCCCGAATGACACTTTCAAAGAACTAGAATTTCTGAGTATGGTTAATGGGGCATTAAGTTCACTGGCCCAGCCTCCCAGCCTAAATAAACTTCAGAAGTTGGCACTTAGTGACAATGTGATTTTTGGAGACTTGGAAGTTTTAGCAGAAAAATGTCCAAATCTTACCTTCCTCAATCTGAGTGGAAACAAAATCAAAGATCTGAGTACAATAGAGGGAGGCTCTGCAAGATCTTAAATATTTGAAAAATCTGGATTTGTTTAACTGTGAGATCACAAGCCTGGAAGATTGCCGAGAAAGTATTTTTGAACTGCTGCAGCAAATCATGTTCTTAAGTGGCAATGATCAGGAAGAAAACGAAGCCCCATGCCAGGCGTGGTGGCACATGCCTGTAATCCCAGCACTCGGGAGGCTGAGGCAGGAGGATTGCTGTGAGTTCGAAACCAGCCTGGGCTACATAGTGAGTTCCCGGTCAGTCTCAACTACATAGTGAGAGACCCTGTCTCAAAAAACCACACACACACACACACACACACACACACACACACAGAAAAAAAACCCAGAAGCCCAGATTCAGAAGAGCAGGAGGAGGATGAAGATGGAGACGATGATGAAGCTGATCTCCCTGAAGGGTATGAAGAGGAAGAGGAGGAAAACGAGGATGAGGATGAGGAGGAAGATGAAGCAGGCTAAGAACTGGGAGAGGGAAAAGTGCGCCTCTCGTACTTCATGAAAGGAGAAATTCAGGATGAAGATGACAAAGGCTTCGTTGAAGAAGGAAAAGAGGAGGAAGAGGAAGAAGGTCTTTGAGGGGAGAAGAGGAAAACGAGACGTAGATGGTGACGGAGAGGAAGAAGATGAGCGGATCTCTCTAAGGCCACGTTCCCTAGCGTTCTCGGGTGTGCAATGGAGTGGCCACATCTTCGTTCCTTCCTGTATGACGGCTATGCCCTGCGGAAGATAAGGTGTAGCTTTTTATAGGAAACGCGGTTCTATCGTTTTTGCCTTATCATTCCAATTAAGATTTACTAGTCTGTTAATGATCAGATTGTGAATTCCCAGAAAACCTTTAGTCTCATACCTCTGTCACCTTTTCAGACCTGTCTGGGTTTTAAATAAGTGAGGAAAACTTGGAGTACTTTTTGAGATCTGGATATTGTTGATACAGTTTTATTCAACAGGTTCTACTTACTGTAAATGTTTCTTGGCTGACGACGTAGGAGACCATTATCAGGGTGAAGAAAGGAGGGGAACAAGGGAGGCTTTGGGAAGGAGGATTAATGTTTCCCAAAAATCTGAACCATTGCCCATTGAGAATTAAATTTAAATTGGCTCCCCAAGGAATTTGGATACCAACCCTGTGAAGTATTTATAGTTTTTCTCAGTAGAACTTTAAGTATTCTTCCTATAGTTTGTTTGTTTTGGTACCGGGGATCGAACTCAAGACCTTGCGCTTGCAAGGCAGGCTGCACCAGTGAGCTAAATCGCCGACTCTTCCTATAGTTTTAATGCATTACCAGACATAACATTTTTGGAATATGGTAGGTGGAAAAATTTTGGAACTACATCAATTTTAAGGTTTATTTTAAGCTGATGTTCATTACAAATAGATCAATATTTGAGATAAATGTGATCGTGATCTTATACAGCTACTAAACAGATCCTAACAGGGTCAACTCCGTCTCCCTTTTTGTGAAGGAGACGCCACATCCAAGGCATTGCACTTTTAATCTTGGCTGTCTGAAATTTTTTACCTTCGTTTTGAATATTTGTAAGTTTTTTTTAAAGTGTCAACAAATAGACGTTATGCTTCTCTGCTGGGACACATTTAAACCAGTATGGCATTGCTGCTGCTTTTTAAGCTTATAATGGAAGGCTTGTCATTTTAAAATAAAAATTATGAAGTTATTTTCAGAGAAACTAAAAAAGTTACACAACTGACTGAAAACACTGGGGACAAATTTTGCAGAGCCTGGAATCTCCAGGAGACTGGCATTTTTTTCTCCTAAGTTAACAATTGGAATGCCCTGTTTAGTCCCTAAGATTTCTTATTGCATACTACGCCGTCTTAGAAAATACTTATTTTTAAAATTAAATCTATATATTGATTTTCTTATCAATCATCTTATTGTGCACTCATAATGAGAGTTGTTTGGTTGGAAAAGAACATTTAGAGCCTCCAGATAACTTTCAAGATTTATGTAGCTTCGTGGGTGGTATTTCCTTGCAAATAAGTAAGGATGGATTTTATATTTTGTAGTTTTGGGTCCTATTTTAATGCTCTTTGTATGGCAGTATATATATAATGTGTTACATTCCTCAAGAACCTCTCCTTAAAAACTTCGAAGTTAAACTTTTGGGCAACTGTGTTTTGAACAAAGCCATGACAGAAATTGAATTTGGGTCCTTGAGCTTGCAAGACAGGCACCAGAACCACTGAGCTAAATCCCTGGCCCTGAAAAAATAATTTTTTAATTAAATAAATAAACGGTACATGGGGTCTTCTCATATTTTTAAGCCAACTGCATAAAAGTGCACAAGTGATCAATCTACAGTGGTGTGTGCAGGTTAATAGACAACACACTCATGCAACCAGTACCTGGTACAAGTCTGGCACCGCAGAAGACTTCTGTCTGTTTTTATATTTGTCTATTACATATTTGTAGAGGTTCTTTTTATTTTTTTTATTTTTTAAATTTTTTTGAGACAGGGTCTCACTGTGTAGTTGATACTGACCTGGAGCTCACTATTTAGCCCAGGCTGGTCTCGAACTCACAGCAATCCTCCTGCCTCAGCCTCCTGAGTGCTGGGATTACAGGCATGCGCCACCACACCTGGCTTACTTTTTATGTATTTTAACATGGTACAAGCCATTTTTTCACAAGAGATTTTTAAGTCTTATAAAGACAAATTCATCAAAATTCACCTTTATGCTGGGTCTCATATCTTATTAGCAAACATTAAAAATATGTTCCTACATTTTCCCCCAGTATTTTATTATTATATGATTTTTTATTCTATCTATACTTTACTTGCTTTTGTATTATAGGCCGTGATGGTCAAATTTATTCTTCCAATTAGATATTCAATTGAAAAAAAAATATTAATTTGTTTATCCTTTTCCCTAACTTCATTTATTTATTTATTTATTTATTTTGGTACCAGGGATCGAACTGAGGCTCTTACACTTGGCAGGTGGCAGAACCACTGAGCTATATTCTCAGCCCTCTCTAACTTTAAGCGTCACCTCCATACAAATTTCTTTCTCAATGTGTAACTGCTCCTAGATTTTACTTGTGATCCAAAATCAATTTTGAATTACTACAGTATTATAGTGTTATTTGCTATTGATTTGGTCAAATCTCTCATCATTTCTCAAAACTTTCTTGGGAATTTTCATGCATTTCGTTTTTTAGATGAACTCCAGAATCTGATTGCCATATTCCACTTTAAAACTCCTATCTTGCTGGGTGTGGCGGTGCACCCCTGTAATCCCAGTACCCAGGAGGTGGAGGCAGGAGGATTGCCTTCGAGTTCAAGGCCACCCTGAACTGCATGGCAAGACCTTTGTCTAAAAAACAAACAAAAAACCCTTCTATCTGAATTAGATTGTATTATAATGAGTTAGTAATCAAACTGAGATTTAACAGCTTTATGGTAAGACTTCCAGCTCATAAACATTGCATATCATATTACATGTTTGGGATTACTTTATTTATTATTGATGGAGAAGTGCTACACAATAAGACAGGCCCTTGCCTTGCCTCCATTTTTTTTTTCTTTTTTTTTTTAGACAGGGTCTCACTATGTAGTTGAAACTGACCTGGAACTCACTATGTAGCCCAGGCTGATCTTGAACTCACAGTGAGCCTCCTGCCTCAGCCTCCCAAGTGCTGCGATTACAGGCGTGCACCACCACGCCTGGCTGCCTCCATTTTTTAATTTTTTTTTTCCACAGAATTGTAAGTTTGTGCTGCTGGGCTCCTGCCCAACGTATCAAAATGGTGTGTGTGACCTTTCAAGAATGTTCTGTTAAACTCTGCGGCCTTAGGAGAAGGTTCTGTTAAACTCCACTCCCTCTCAGGAATGTTCTGTAACTCCCCCCACCCACCCCTGCTTCAGTGAGCATGCTCACATGTGTTTCGGGAATGTTCTATAACCCCACCCCTTTGCTTCAGAGAGCATGCTCACATGTGTTTTGGGAATGTTCTATAACCCCACCCCCTTGCTTCAGAGATCATGCTTGCCTACCCTCAGAATCCTATATAAGGAGGCTCTCCTTTCTGGTAGAGCTGACTCCTCTGAGCCTGATAGGGTTGGCTGGCAGGCCTAACAAAGGGCTTTTTTCCACCTCTTCAATTGACCTTTGGATTCTCTGTCTTCAAATTACAAGAGCAAAAACAAATAAACAAACAAACATAAAAAAACCCACTAAATTATGAGAGCTGTGCTCCGGAGCTGCCATACTAATCTGTAAAGCTCAGCTGTGCCTCAGAGCTGTGGCACTGAGCTGTGACACTGAGCTGTGACACCCTGCTAGAGCCCTGAGCTGCCCTGCTGTGCACAACATTATCAATAGACCTTTTTCCTTTCCATATTATGGGGATAATCTGAGTTATTTGGGGTAATTTTCTAATGTTGATATTTTGTTTGTCCCTCTTACTAAACTTGATTGGGATAAAATTCATTATTTTACATGTGTGGATTATTTACGTGAGGTTTGAATTACTTATAATACGATTTTAATACTTCATTTTGTATTTGTAGTTCCTTAGGTAAACCTTTCAGTACGATATAAATTAGTATCAGTAATACTAGGTTTCTTAATCTTGTCCCCTCTCTATATGGAGCAATTCCAGTGTTTTACTACTGACTCACAATATTGGTACTGCACATCTGATAAAAATTCCTCCCATTCTGTTCTTGGCTTGCCAACATTTTTAAATTAGAAATTCATGTTGAGTTATATCAAATACTCTACTTTTTAGCGTCTATTAAGATGATCGCATGGAATTTTAATTCAGCTCACTAGCAAAATTATTCCCAAGAAACCATACTTATCCTCCTGGGGAGGACACAATCTATTATTCTTTTAATGCATGATACTGTTTGCTTAGATCTTATTTTGCACTCATATTTATACATGAATCTGTCCTATAGTTTCTACTTTGCAGGTGCTCTCCAAAGTTTATGCAGTGCCAGTTTTACATGAAATAGTTGTAACATAAAATGAGTTGAAGGAAGTGTTCTGTGTATTTCTGTGTTCTGGAAACACTTCCATGACATAAGAATTATCAATTTTTTCAAAGTTGGTGTGAAAATGCAAAGTCTCCTGGGCCTGTGGACCTTTTCTAGGTAGTAGATTCTGACTCTTTTTTCTTCCTCTTCATAGTGATGGTAATAGCAGGAACTTCTAGAGTCAAATGTAAGCTACCATTCTTAGCACTTTCCGAGTATTAGTTTGTTTGTTTGTTTTTTTTTTCAGTTTCCATGCCTTATAGCCTGTATTTTTATAGACTGAGGAATGGAGCCCAGGAAGGTATGGTGCAGGTCACACAGTAAATCAGTAGAGGAGCCGGAGCCAGGAAGTCTGCCTCTCAGGCTATGTTCTTAACCACTGCGTAGGCAACACTGCCTCCCACTGACAGTTAGTAGCAGTTCACTCTCTTAATTCTGTTCTGGGATGGGATCACTTTTTTTTTTTTTTTTTTTTTTTTTTTTTTTTAGGACATCTTTTCGTAACAAATCATCTACCACAGGGAGCCAACTCCAAAGTACTTCCATGCCAGGCATGATGGCACATACCTGTAATCCCAACACTCAGGAGATTGAGGCAGGAGGATTGCCATGAGTTCGAGGCCTAGGCTACAGAGTGAGTTCAAGGCCAGCCTGAACTACACAGGGAGACCCTGTCTCAAAAAAACAAAAAACAAAAAAGAAACAACTCAGGCTACAACTCACATCATAGATAAATATGAACTCAAAATGGATCATAGATCTAAAGGTGAAGTATAAAACTATTAAATTTAGATGAAAACATAGGAGGAAATCTGATCCTGAAATAACCAGAATTTTTAGATATCCATAAAATACATCTATAAAAGAAAAAAATTAGATTTCATCAATATTAAAAACTTTGCTCTGCAAATTATACTGCTAAAAAAAGGGGAGAAAGAGAAGGGGAAATAAAAAGAATTAAGGTATGCTATATATAAATACCAATTCTTCATGATGAATGTAATTTATATACTGAAAATATGTGCTAATAAAGTTTATCGTATTTTCTTTTCTTTTTTTTTTTTTTTTTGGTACTGGGGATCGAACTCAGGTCCTTGCACTTGGGTGGTAGGCGCCAGAACCACTAAGGCAAATCCCAAGCCCTTTTATAATTTTTAAAAAGAAGCTGGGTGTGGTGATACATATCTGTAATCCTAGCACTTAGGAGGCTGAGGCAGGAGGATTGCTATGATGTCTAGGCTAGACTGTGCTACACAGTGAGTTCAAGGCCAGCTTGAGCTACATGGCAAGAGCATGTCTGCAAAAGCAAAACTAAAACAAAACAATAAAGTGGGACACAGCAGGGCATGACTGTAATCCTAGCACTCTGGGAGGCTAGGTAGGAGGAGAGGTTAGATCCCAGCCCAGCCTGCGCAATGTAGCAATTCAGTTAATTTAAAAAGGGAATAGAGGAGTGATGGCGAGTCTTTTAAAGCTTTCAATGGTACAAACAGCCTGCTGTGAAATGTGTGTCATAGGTTTACCACCACTGGGCTAAAGATAAAGCTCAGTGCAAAGGCCCTGGGTTCAGTGCAAAGTACCAGGCAAAAGGAGATAGGAGGTAGACTTCAGACCAGGAGAAAATATTTGCAAATCATGCATCTTGCATAAGACTTTTACTCTGACTAAATAGAGGACCTTCAAAACTCAACTACAGTAAAACACTTCAAATTTTTTAAATGGGCAAGAGATTTGAACAGATACTTCACCACAAAAGAAGATACATGAGTCAAATAAGCACAAGAAAATATTTTAATCCTTACAAAGATCACCCTCCACTGCCAAAGAACCTGACTGCAACTGTTAAATAACATTACCCAAGGGTGCCTGGTGCAACCTAAATCTTCCAAACCCATGTCATTCTTACCTCAAGCAGTCCTTCCCCTACCAAACTGACCAATCACCTGAGAGAGTGAGCCCATCATACCAATCAGCAGCCAGGTTTAGCTTCCCACCCATTATACACAACTTCCAAACGACCAATAGAAGTAGACAATCTGGGAGAGCCTGCCTGGTCTCCATGGTAACCCCTGAACCTGGCCTTATCCCTGAAAGAACCAGATCCAGGTGCTGTACTGGGGTATGGGAAGGGGATACACACCAGGAAGTAAGAGGGAGAGGGAGTAGTGGCGATGGACAGGTAGGGTGTCCTAAGAAGGAAGAGAGGGTAGATAGTGAATAAAGATTTAGAGGGGGCACAGGTTTAGGAGCAGAGGGAGCTGTTTGAAGTGGCTGGGGAATGAGTTCAAAGGGTCAGAAAGCTGGTTTTGGGTTAAAGACAAGGTATGAGAAGGATAAAGGCCAGGACTTCATAAGGGGCTAGAAAAGAGGCTATATGGATAGACCATGGTCTTAGAAGGTGCCAAGTAAAGGGTTGGTGGGGGTAATTTATGGGTTAGGGGAGGACTGTGACAGATTCATAGGGAAAAGTGGGGGATATTATAAAGCGTAAGTGAGAGAGCTATTGTAGACATTGGAAGTTTTATAAGGTGAGAGTTCTAGAAGGGAATGATGAATTTAAAATGAAGGTTTTTACACATGGAAATGATAATATTCATGTGACGATCTTATTCATCAGGTATTTTATAGGGGCAGGGAGAAAGCTGCTTTGGGGATAATTACAGTGTTCTAAGGTGTCAGTTGAGGTTTAGGGAGTAAGAGTCATCAGAGTCAGAGAATTTGGAGGGGACAGTAGAAGGAGTCAAGTGAGAAATTGTGGAGATCTTCAAAGCAATTGCGAGGACAGAGAGGAAATTTTAGGAGGCAGAGAAAAGGTTATGGGAAAGGGTGGGCATTGTAGGGCACAAAGGGTGAGGAGTTCTAACGGACAGAGAGGTGTTAAAAGGGATAGAAGGACTTGGAGGCAATGAGAGTTTGGAAGGGCATCAGTGAAGATTTTATAGGAGCCAAGGAGAAATGTGTTAGGGTGAATAGGGAACAAGCGGGAAGGGATGAAAGAGTCCCACAGTCACACTCAGACCTGACCCACTCTACCGCAGGTGTCTGAGCATATGCCCGGCGATTCCAACAGACCTGCCGAGAGCTACTGCATCCTGTCCATCCTGGCCGTGCTCTTTTGCCTTCCCCTTGGCCTTCCAGCCTTAATCTTATCTTACCAGGTGGGAATCTGCTTCCTGCCTGCCCGTCCTTCCCCTCCCTGCACCCCACCCTCGACCTTGCCCCGACCCTGACCCTAACTCAGCTCCTTCCTCATTTTCCCTCCTGTGCTAGGAGCCTGCTGGCGGCAGGGGTGGGGAGCTCCCATAGGTTCAGACTCCCACACTATTTCTTCTCATCCAACAGCTCTCCCCATCCCACAGCCCTTTTAAGCCCATCTTTTCTCATTTCCTTTCTCCCCTGAAACTCAGACAATGCTCTACAATCAATCAAATGACTATGCACGGGCAGCTATGACCAGCAAAATAGCTTTCTGCTTGGCTATAACTGGCCTTATTTTGGGCCTCTTCAGCTATCCCCTGATTCTTGTACTGTTCTTAAGGTAACCTTCCAAGCTCATGAACAAACTACTGAATGTAAACAACGGTATAATCTAACCCTGACTGTAAGCATCTATTTGGGCTAAGTGGGACACCTGCTCTTCAGAGTCTGGAATACCAGGCTATTTGAAATCAAGAGGAAAAAAGGAAAAAGAAAAATTGAAATATTCTTCCTACCCTTGCAGCTCAGTACCACATTTCTGACACCACCAGGCATGATGTACAGAGGGTACACACACACCACTTTGGACACCAGATTCTCCAGCAAACACCGACTAGATGTCCTAAAAATGTAATTCAGCCCTGCCAGTATCTACTTAGAATGCACAATTGGACTGGATCCTGGGATTATAAGTGGACAAAAATGAGGTTAAGGCTTGCCCTATCCTCGAGGGGTGTGTGACCAATCAGGGTGTTAGGGAGAACCCTGGTATGGCAGCTGGGTGGACAGAATCTCCCTTTAGTGGTGGCTTTTATACCCTGTTGTGCACAATCGCTGGGCAGTGAGGCTGTTATTTCCAGGCAGAAAGACGTGGTTATGAGGGGCCCATAGAGAGACCAGGTATCATGGGTTTGGGGATGGGAGTATTGAAGCAAGAAATGGTGGGTATCTTACTTACTTTTCTCTCATGGCTGAAACAAAATACCCGACACCCAAAGTTAAAGGGGGAAAGGTTTATTTAGCTCATATTTTATAGGAAGTTAAGTCCATAATTGGCTGGCTCCAAGGGTGCTATGACACACAGGCACTGCAGAGGAGAAACAGTTCATGGTGGGCAGAAGGTAGTAAAGCAAGGAAGCAAGAGAAGAGATAATCCTCTTTCTGTCCCTTATATGTATCTAGTCTACAGGGATCAGGGCAGTACCAACCCAAGCAGTGGACTGATTTAGTAATCACCCATCCTTAATCCTAGCATGGTACCATGAATCAATGACACAGTCTAGATTCAGCCACCTCTGAAAAAGCTCTACGTATAACTGAATGAGGCTTTGGGAGGAATCTAGACACAACACAACAGTGGCACATGCCAGTGCTAATAGCACTCCGGGGGTTGAAGGAGGATCACAAGTTCAAACCCAGCCTCGGCAGTTTACTGACTTATGAAGATCCTGTCTCAAAAAAACACAAGCGTTGGGGGTACAGCTCAGTGAAAAAAGAACAGATAGCTGGGTCTGGGGCTCTGGCTACATGGGATGCTGAGAAAATATATAACTGCCATTTCCCCTGAGAGTGAGGAGGGTGTTATTTTGGGAGGTGAAGGCCTTGCAGGCATAGGGAGAGAACTCAGATTCTAGGCCACCCAAGAATGACAAGATTATATAGTGAACAGGGCTGCAGGTGTAGCTCAGTGGTAGAGCACTTGTGTGGCATGCGTGAGCCCCTGGTTCCACCCCTAGAGCCATGAAAGAAACAAGAGTCTACCATGACCATACTCTCTGGCTGTCAAGTATATCAATATGCAGCTACATCACGCATGAAATATAATGTAAGCAACCAGTATATTAAAAAGTTTCTCATGAAAACTGACTTCATGCTTCTGTTAAAGCTTACTAATATGCTGGTAATTAATGAAAAAATAATAAAAGTATGCCAGTTCAGAAAGTATATGACTAGTATCATTCAAAAGAAAAATACAGCTGGGTGTGGTGGTGTATGCCTATAATCCCAACACTCAGGAGGCTGAGGCAGAAGAATTACCTCAAATTCGAGGCCTGTACTCCATGGTGATTTCAAGGCCAACCTTCACTACCTAGCATGACTGCATCTAAAAATAAAATTGAGGGCCGGTGATTTAGCTCAGTGGTTCTGCCGCCTGCCTTGCAAGCACAAGGACCCGAGTTTGATCCCTGATACCAAAAAATAAATAAATACATAAATAAAATTAAAATTAAATTGAAAAAATTTTAATAAATTTAAAAAAGAAAATGAAGAATAAAGCCAGGGCCTGATAGCACACACCTATAATCCCAGCACTCTGAAAGCTGAAGCAGGAGAAATGCACTGAGTTCAACGCCAGCCTGAACTACATTGTGAAACCTTGTCTCAAAAAACAAAACAAAACAAAACAAACAAAAAACAAAGCAAATCTCAAGCACAAAGTCCCTAGTTCAATCCCTGGTACCAAAAAAATAAATAAATAAGTAAATAAAGATTATATAAAATATAAAGAGCTGGGTTCTTAAAAATAAAGTACTTAACTGAATCCCTTTAGGAAAGGGGAAACTGGTGAATGTAAAATGAATATTTTAATGTGCAACTTTCAACTGCGAAACTATGACTATTGGTATTTTGATGAAAACAGCTGCTGATAAAGTTTTAAAAAGTACTTAATTGAGCAAGGAGGAAGTACTAGATTATATGGGAAAAGTATATTTAGTAAGAAACTACCAAACTGTCATCCAATGTGGTCGAATCATTTGGTATTCCTGCCAGTAATGAAAGAAAATCCCTTTTGCTCCAAACACCCACCAGCATTTAGTGTTGTCAGTGTTTCGGATTTTGGCTATTCTAGTAGATATGTAATGATATGCCTTTTGTTTTCATTTTTTGTTTGTTTTGTTTTGTTTGAGACAGGGTCTGCTACATGGTCAAGGCTGACTTAGAACTCACTGTGTAGTACAGACTGGCCTATAAACTCAAGATCTTCCTGCCTCTGACTCCTCAGTGCTCCACTGTTGTTTATAATACTGCATATTGAACCCAGGGCTTTTGCCCTGAACTACATCCCCAGCCTCTTTTTTTTTTTGAGACAGTGTCTCTTGGTTACTATGTTGCCCAGGCTGAACTAGAACTTGTGATGCTCTACTTCACCTAGAGTGCACCACCATACCCAGGCTGTTGTTTGAATTCGCAGTTCCCTGATGATATTGAGCATCTTTTCATTTATTTTCCATTTGTGCATCTTAGTGAGATATTCGCTTTTTGCACATTTTTAGTTGGCTTGTTTGCTTCCTTCTTGTTGAGTTTTAAGAGTTCTTTATTTATTTTAGATACAAGTTCTGTATAAGGTTTGTGTTTTGCAAATATTTTCTCCTGGTCGGCAACTTATGATTTCATTCTCTTAACAGTCAACTTTATTTTAAAGTTCTCAGATATGTGCAAAGTCTCCTGAAAACCTTATAGGTTCAAGGGTGTCTCGCTGACTTTTTTAAGTAGCAAAACACTCCACAGAGGGCAGAAGGGTGGAGATATTTGGGGGAAATGGCAGCTTTGAGAACCAGACATTGAGGAGTCATAATGGCCAATCTTTCCTCCTGAAAGCCCACCAGTTTTCCTGGCAACCAACACTCTTTTCAATTTCTCTGTCCTTGAGAAGTGTAGGAAGCTACCCTCAGCTTTTCCCTCAAATCTGCTACTTCAGTGATGATCACGGTCCTTTGCCCCTGGATCAGAAGCGTGAGCCACAACTTGGATGTTTCCTGGGCTCCTACATCCACAGGGTCTCACATTACCTTCAGCTTTTGCCCCAAAGCTGCTCTTTTTCCCATGTCCCCATTTCAAGATCTACCTTGCTGGGGATTTAGCTCAGGGGCACTGTGCCTGCCTTGCAAGTGCAAGGTCCTGAGTTCGATTCCTGGCGCGCGTGTGCACACACACACGCGCGCACACACACACACACACGCAAAGATCCGCCCCATCCATATCCCAGCCCCAGGCCACAGCCCTGAACCTCATCTGCGATGCCCACCATCACCACCACAGTCTAACCCGACTGCCAGCCGGACCCATCAGGCTCCTCCTACCAGCCCATCCTGGTCCAACACTGCCCCAGCATCTTGCTCCAGCCTTTTCCTTGAATGCCCAGCTTTAGTCTCAGGCCATCACCTTCCCCTCTATCTTCTTATTCAAAAACTATTGACAGAGCCAGGCTCTGTGCTGGACACAGTGGTGGTGAAAGATCCTTAAATGTTGTCATTTCTCAGGGACCTATCTGAGCTGAGTTCTCCTCTGTTCTAGGTTGGTACACACCCAGATTGCTGTCTTGGCCTGCTGGGCTCCCCAGAGCTCTCAAGCTCTCTGGGCCATCCTCTAGACCTCTTATGCCCTTCTTGTTCCATGCTAACCCAGCCCTGCTGCTTATTTCCTACGAAGTCATCCTTCTACCTCCCTCACTGAGCTGAGCTCCATATTACAGAACACAGGCCTGTCCTGTCACCACAGAGTCCCAAGCATCAAGTAGAATACAGTCTGCTCCATTAACATTTATGAAATGCGAAGCAAGAATGAAGACTTGGAAAACTGCATGCCAAGGAGATAATTAGGATCACACTATCTGCCTGTATTCCTCTCTCCAGACAAGAGACACCCTGTTTCTAAAATCAAAGAACAGTGAGTAGCCCAGAGCTTGTAATCCCAACACTCTGGGAGGCTGAAGCAGGAGATCTGTTAAATTCGAGCCCAGCTTGCGCAACTTGGTGACTTAGTGAGACCCAGCCT